CCGCCCTCCGACTCCCACGTGTGCGGATCTCTGAGGCTCACGGCGCACGGGGCGTCCACTTGCCGCGAACTCTGCCTCCTGCTCCACGTGGCTGCAGCTCCCAGGCGGTGCCCTCGCTCCTCCCAACGCGGTTCTCCGGCCCACGTCTTGGCGTGTTGTTGTCTTCTAAAGTCCCCCGGTCGTGGTTGCGGTTCCTCAGTGCATCTGTCCACATTCACGTGCTCTAAAGTGACGTGTGCGCCTGTCACCCTGGACGGCCATCTTCCCCACCCAGTGCCTCCGTGCGGCCCGACCGGCCTCCTCCCGCCCTTCACCCTGCCTGGCCACTTCCTCCTGGTCTTGCATGCGGCTGGTTCCCGCTAAAGAGGACGAGAATGGCTGTGTCTCAGAGCCCCCGTGGGCTCCTGCTTCCCGGGACCGGCGGAGAACCTCGGCCTTGTGCCTCACGCCAGCCAGCTCTTCCGCACACGGAAGTGGGGCTGTGGGAATCCGCCAGTCTCTGCCCCTCATGGACACGGCCCCAGACCCTCTGCCCACGCGAGAGGCCTGGCCCTGGGGAGGCGGGTTCTCTGGGGGCACCGGGGCGTGAGCCCAGTGCACCGGGGCTGTGGTTCTGTTCCCGCCTCTCCCCTGCACCTGCGGCCCCCGCGTCCTCTGTCCGAGCCCCTCGGCTTCCAGCTGCGCACGCCGCGTGCGATGGTCCAGAGTGGGAGGTGGCGCAGTCGGGGTCTAATAAATCCCCCTGCCGTCACCGACTTGTAACTCAAAGTCGAGGCGGAAGAAGGGTGCTTTGCTGCTCAGTGCCGACCCAATCGCCTGGAAGTGAAACGCCGGGGTGTTCAAAGTCTGCGCCTGCCGCGGGGACCACAGACACAGAACGTGGGAGTTTGAGTCCGCGTGGCGGGGGCAGGGAGGGTGAGGTAGCCGCGCGCTAGGACCCTCGCGGACCGTGTGTTCTTCACGACAGGTTCATGATTAAGAGGGCGCAAGGGAGAAAGCGCTTTGGGATGAAGAATTTTAAGAAGAGATGGTTCCGCCTGACGAACCACGAATTCACCTACCAGAAAAGCAAAGGTAACTCGAGGCTCAGGGCACAGGCGTCTGCTTTCCTGTGGGGGCAGCGGCAGGGAGGGAAGGTCTGTCCTGGGGGCGCAGACGCCCAGCGGGGGGAGCCCGAGACCCCTCTGCGCCGGGACGGGCGGGAAATTCGGTCCTCAGAACCCGCCACGAACGCAGAGCTGACCAGGCCACAGGGTCCTTCCCGCCCGCGGTCCCCGCTGCTCCTGTGCCCTCCTGGCTGTGGCCGCGGCCTGGCTTGTGGCGCTTGGCATGGGGGTGTGCGAGCCGCCGCGGCAGGCCGTGCTGGGAGGTTCCTCGGCTGCGCGTTCGAGAGGGCGGCCGGGCGCACGCCTCAGCCGTAGGGGTTGGGCTCACCGGGTCATCCTGCCTGGAGAGCGTGGGAGGCCGGGGTGCCGTGAGTCTGACTGCCGGGGTGGGGGCCGCGTGCTCATGGCGCCTCTGCCGCAGGAGACCCGCCGCTGTGCAGCATCCCCATCGAGAACATCCTGGCGGTGGAGAGGCTGGAGGAGGAGTCCTTCAAGATGAAAAACGTGAGTGCGCGCCCCTGGGTCTGCGCGTCCGGCGAGGTCGCGGGCGCCGCGGCGTGTTCCATCCAAACCGGGGCCGAGGCAGCGGCTCTCCCAGCCCGGTCCCCGGCAGCCCCCAGGTCAGGACCCAGAAGCAGGCTGGGGACACTGGAGTTTCTTCGTGAGGCTTCGTTTGTTCCGATGTGACTTCGAGCTCAGAGGGAAGTTACAGGAACGGGACGGGGTTGCCGCTGTGCTTCCCGCCCCGGTTCCCGCACCCCTCCCTGCTCACCCCACCTCTGCTGCAGCCTGGCCTGTGCCGTGGGAGTCCTGGACCCCTCCGACCTCAGCATTTGTCCCTCCCCTCCCTCCCGCCTGAGCGCCCTCCGCCCCCACCCTCTTTCTCTACCTCATTTCTTCTCAACCGACCTGAGTGCAGCTGGGGACCGCGCACATGATCTCCCCGCCCCCACGCACCCCGGCTCTCTGTGCTCTCTCTCTGTCTTGCTGGTGGGACGTTCACGGGTTCAGGGACTCAGGCCACACGGTGTCCCAGGACCTAGGAGGTATCTGGCACTC